TGGGGGGCGCTGGGGAGGGGTCTGGGGGGGCGAGGGGACGGCTGTGGGACAAGGGAGGGGGACGGAGGGATGGACGAGGAGGAGGAGGAGGAGGAGGAGGAGGAGGCGGGATGAGGAAGGCGGAGCTGCGGGAGGGACGATGAATCCCAGCGAGGACGGGCGGGATCAGGGGTGGGAGGGATGAGGAAGAGGAGCAGGAAGCCGAGCGGGGCTCCCCCGGCCTTCATCCCGGTGTCCGCGGGGAGCCAGGAAGGGTCGGAGTCCCCAGCCCGGTGTGTCCCCAGCCCGGATCACCGGGCTCGGCCCGCCGGGGCTCAGCGGGGATCGCAGGCGCGGATCCCCGCACGGGGCACGGAGCTGGGGCAGCGCTCGGAGCCCTTCCCGCACTCGGGGCTGGGCGGGGTCCGCGGGCAGCGAACCCTTCCTCCTCCTCCTCCTTTTTCTCCTCCTCCTCTTTTTCCTCCTCCATCCCTTCTCCCGCTCCCCTCAGCTCCATCTCCCACCCTTGCCGCCCGCGTTTTCCCGAAGATTTCGCGTCCCGCGGGAGGAATCGGGATGGAGCCGGGATAGAAGCGAGAGTGACCCGGGAAAGAGCCGGAATGGGACCGGGATGGGGCCGGGATGGAACCGGGATAGAACCGGGATGGGGCAGGGATGGGGCAGGGATGGAACCGGGATAGAAACGGGATGGAGCCGGGATGGGGCAGGGATGGAACCGGGATGGGGCAAGGATGGAGCCGGGATGGAGCCGGGATGGGGCAGGGATGGAACCGGGATAGAAACGGGATGGGGCAGGGATGGAACCGAGATGGGGCAAGGATGGAGCCGGGATGGGGCAGGGATGGAACCGGGATAGAAACGGGATGGAGCCGGGGATGGGACTGGGATGGAGCCGGGATGGAGCCGGGGATGGAACCGGGAATGGAACCCGGAAAAAGCCGAGGATGGAGACGGGGATGATGCCGGGATTGAACCGGGATGGAGCCAGGAGGGAACCGGGATGGAATTGGGATGGGGCTGGATGGGACCTGGATGGGGCCGAGATGGAACCGGGATTGGACCGGGATGGGGCCGGGATGGAACCGGGATGGGACCGGGATGGAACCGGGATGGAGCCGGGATGGAACCGGGATAGAACCAGGATGGGACCGGGATAGAACTGGGATGGGGCCGAGATGGAACCGGGATAGAACCGGGATGGGACCGGGATGGAGCCGGGATGGAACTGGGATAGAACCGGGATGGAGCCGGGGATGGAACCGGGATGGGGCCGAGATGGAGCCGGGATGGAACTGGGATAGAACCGGGATGGAGCCGGGGATGGAACCGGGATGGGGCCGAGATGGAGCCGGGATGGGACCGGGATGGAGCCGGGAATGGAACCGGGAAAAAACCGAGGATGGAATCGGGATGGAGACGGGGATGGAGCCGGGATGGGGCTGGGATGGGGCCGAGATGGAACCGGGATGGGGCCGGGCCAGCTCGGGCCTGGGCAGCTCAAGGCTCTGGGCCCGGCCTGCGCCCCCTCCCCAAATTTCCCATGTGCAGTTTCGGGGGTTCCCGGCGCTTTTTGGGGCTCCGCGGGTGCCGCGCTGGGGTTTGGGTGCCTCTCAACGAGGGTCCGGAGCGGGGGGACAAGGGGGGGACACACGGGGGTCCCAAATCCCGATCAATCCCGGGACCGGATCGATTCCCCCCAAATCACAGCCCCCCCAGACCCCTCCCCAGCGCCCCCCAAGAAACGGCCCCGGCGCCAACTGGGAAGCTTTATTGGGAGCGCTGGGAGCGGGCGGGCGGGGGCAGAGCGCCAGCGGGGCTGGGGGGGACACGCGACCCCCCCAAAATCGCCGCGGGGACGGAGCGGGGGGTCCCGGCCGGGCCCGAGGCCGCGGGGAGCGGCTGCGGCCGCCGGCGGCTCAGGAGCTCTGCGGGCAGAGAAAAGGGGGTGAGCCCGGGCCGGGGGCCCCGGGGGGAGCGCGGCCGCTCCGGCCCGGGGGGGACACGACCCCCGGCACCCCCCCGGACCTTCTTGCGCAGGTAGAAGCCGAGCCCCAGCGCCAGGAAGACCGAGCCCAGGACGAAGCCCCCGATGCCCGTCAGCATCTTGCTGCGGGCGGCGTCCGGCGGCATCTCTGGGGGGGCGCGGGGCTCAGCACCCCCAAAACCTCGCACGGACACCCCGAGCCCCTCCCGCCGCCCTCCCGCTCGGCCCCCCTGAACCCAGCCCGGCCGGGACCCCCCGAAACCTCCCCCCGACCCCTGCCAGGAACACCCGGCACCCCAAACCCCCTCCCAGTAAATCCCAGTACCCAAAAAATCCTTCCCAGCCACACCCGGCACCCCCAAACTCCCTCCCAGTAAATCCCAGTACCCAAAAAATCCCTCCCAGTCACACCCAGCACCCCCAAACCCATTCCCAGTTAAACAGAGTGACCCCAAACCCCCTCCCAGTCACACCCAGCACCCCCAAACCCATTC